GCTACCGGGATTTAAAAATAGTTACGCAAAATGGAGCATGTCTGCTCCGACCGGTTTTAAAGGGTTAATGACTGACTTTCATCTAATGTAAACACTTAAGGTTCCAAAACACCAACATGAGCGTTAAATCTAAACTTAAAACTGCTGTCACAGTCATTTCAGATCAGCAATTGCTGTCAGTGAAGACTATAAACATTTTATCATGCACATACTGTCACAATCTGAAAGCAGGGACTAAAGCGCAGAACAGGTTGACGTCTCAGAGCACCGTTTATTTACACACCAGTGCGATAATATATACAGTGACGGGGAAAATCCAGGGTTCCAAGGGATTAGGGGAAGGCTCTCTCTCTCACGCTCGCTCACGTCCTCACATCCAACTCACACACGTTCGTACAGCTGGGAGGTCACAGGTCCGGGAAGGTAAACTGGAACAAGAAAGGGAAAAATCACTCACAAGTCACGAAGGTAGGGCGCAAAGGTACAAGACCACGGGAGCTGGGAAGAGAGACTAACGTTAGTAGCACAATCATCCAGCAATGAGAAGATCTGTGGCCCAGCCTCAAATAGTAGTCGGGAAATCAGCTGATCGCCAACAGGTGTGTGAGCCAAGGGTGGGAGCCAGCAGTGAGCTCCGCCCAGGCAGAGAGGTAGGGGAGAGAGAGAGAGAAAGCAAAAACACAAGTGTAGCCTTGTGAGGCCGGCTGGGCAGGCACGGGGACCATGACACATACAGTATGTTGAAAAGCATAAATACCATATGCTGAGCATGCTGAAAATAGAATTATTTCACTTTATGAGGTGTCAATAAAAAAAAGAAATATGTGCATTTGTTGTGGTGTTTGAAAGAATTGTCATTCTGACCCATTCTGTCGCTCTGAACAGTATCAATGGAGGTGGATGAAGAAGAGGACCTCATTGAAATCGCTGAGGAGGCAGATCTGATCCAGGCAGAGCGGATTATTGAAGACAACTTTGGTCCCAGAGGCATTAGAGATGCCAGGAAGAAGGAAGAAATGCAGGATGCTGTCAGAGAAGTCGAGGATCTCATGCTTGCTATGAACCTGGATAAAGCTAAAATACAGGCTGAGCAGAGTGAAGAAGGATTCAAGGTAAATTTAATTGAAGGGTTTAGTGCAGTGATCGTAATGAGTTTATCATTTCTCTAAGAGCACACTGATGTAGAACCATCGCAGACTGAGTGGAGTCTGATGTAAGGATATGCTTACATTAAATCAACATCTGACCAATGGAAATATATTTACATCTTAAGTCCACAGCATACAATATGTTATTTACATCCATGTTTGGTAGATGGCAGTTTCAGTTTTCCCTTTGTTGATGATAAATATAGGACTTGGCATGTTACTGTGAAAACTCTGTAAGTGTAATAACCAAAAGCTTCAGGAGAAAGATTTCTCAGGCATTGTAAAAGATGGACATAGTTACTATAAGTCACCCAGCAGTTTGGGCTTTTGGTTTACAGTCTTGAATTTACAAGATTCAGTGGTAGTGTTTTTGTCTCCCGCATGCTGTTATTCTGGAGAGGCAGAAGTTACCATGTTTAGGTGAAAGGGTAGAGTACTTAATTATCGCCTAATGCTAGGACGTTTAAATTTCCTATGTGCAATGCTCAGGCACATCAGCTAATTAGTGCTCAACAGACTAATGAAACATTAGAATTTCACTCACCAAAATTGAAGCACAAACTTCTTAGATGGTCTGCCCTCAACAGCAAACCATAATATTAGTCAGAGACTTGCATTAAAATGCTCCAAGAACAATCAACTGCATAAACTAAGTGTAGACATCTAGTTCAGTGATTGTAGTTAGAAGAGGTGAGGTCTAAAAGATAACAATCAGCTCCAGATGCTTGTGTCAGAACATCTGTCAGTCAATGTAACCATGTCTCTATCTCCAGTATCCAGTATCTAGTGCACACTATGACAACTTATTACAAAAAGAAAAAAGAAAACAACAAAAAAAATAATACAATATCTACTTTATAATATGAATTCATCACTTAGTTAACTGAGGTTCAGAAGGTTATAATGTTTTTTACCATCCTGATCCATACAGTTCCAACCAGACCAGAGGAAAAAGATGAAGAAAAAAATCAGAAACGAAATTAGGAAGACCTCAGCTATGACTGAAAGAGAGGAAGATAACGTGTTTGATGTTTGGACTCTTAGTCAGCAAGACAGATGGAAGCTCTATCGGTATGTCTGCATCTGTTTTCTTTTATTACTATGTACCTTTTTCTGGCTCTTCCCTTCTGTTGCATTCTCTGTACAGTTCTGTCCTCTTTCCTTCTTTCTTAATTCACCTTTTTATTCTACACTCGTTCTATTCCCTGACCTACCTTCGTATATTCCCACTGTGTATAATTAAGTCAAGTAATCACTAAGAAAATGTATCTCTTAGGATTTTATCACAGCAGAAAGCCAAGATGTAAATCTAGTCTTCTATTACTGTAAAATCAGGACTGAAAGAACTGTGTACACAGTTTTATTTCTCATTTAAACTAACAAACAGGGAAGACAAAAACAATGTATTGTTTAAATTGTTTAATTGTTTAATTATGCTGTATTAGTAATGAAGAGGTATTAGTCAATCATACTATATATTTTTGCTCTTACTCCATGTTATTTCAGATTAAAACAATAATAATCTTAGGACTTCTGCATGGCTCTTTCAGTCAGTTCAGTGTTTTACTATTTCATATTGGCTTTGTGTTTTCAGGTTGTGGGTGTCACGCTACAGGACGGAGCTTCGCGAAAAAGCCCTGCTATCTGAACAAGCCTACCAGAATGCAGTGGACAGATTGGCTGATGTAAAACGGCATGAAAGTCTCTGTCTCCTCAAAAAAGCCACGGTACAGAATATATTAATTAGCATATTCCTTTTAAAAATCCTAACCATAAATTATATAGAATTTATCAGATTAATTATAAAGGATTTTAACTAACATTAACAGATAGATTATTTTTGGTTTCATTTGCCCAGATTTTGTGGCAAGCATCTTTGTGCAAGAGAAAATACTGTATATTATCCAAATTAAAAGAGTTTTTTCTTCTGTGCCTCCATTTAAAAATAGTAGAAGAGAGCAGAATTGCTCCTGGTAATCCAAGAAGTGACAGTAATGTTACAGTAATGTAACCTATTGGTTAGTTACAAAGTTTTAAAACTTTTCCCAATAGCACCTGTGGCCATATGAACAGACTGAGGCTACAAGCGATAAAGAATCCAAGTGTTAAACAACTACAGAAACAGACAAGCTGCTTCCCACTGTTTCCAGTCTTTATGTCAATCCAACAGACTCCATCTTCGCATTTGTATAGGATTGATATCTACCTTATGCTCTAACAGTCCACAAAAATAAATAGCAAATTCAGGTCCACTTGTCTTTAAAAAAAACAAATATCCTGTCCACCAGGTTGTTGGCATGACAACAACAGGGGCAGCAAAGTTTCGTCAAACCCTGCAGGAAGTGCGTCCACGTCTGGTGATTGTAGAAGAGGCTGCAGAGGTTCTTGAAGCCCACACCATCACCACATTGAGCAGAGCATGCCAACATCTTATTCTGATTGGAGACCACCAACAGGTAAGACCTGATACAGACAAACAAGGCGATGTTTCCTGAGCACTTAGGAGACTTGCAAGGTTTATTAACTCTGCTTGACTATTTTTGGATCGCTGTATGTGTTTTTAACAAGGCACAGTTGTAACATGAAAATTTAAAGACAACATATTATGAGATGCTCTGTGCTTTTCTATATCTTTATGTGTGTTGCCTTGAAGGTAGCAAAAGAAAAAAATACTAGCTATTACAAGAGATAGAGAAGAGTACACAGTGATATCCTGGACATCAGGAGGCTATTATACAACAACTTGTCGGGGCCTGCCAAGGACATATGGCTAGGCAGCCTGTCTACCAATCTGCAGCATGTGATCACAGCTACACAAAACTCTATCACACATCTCAATATTCAGCTCTGGTATATTCTTGCTGTGCAACAACTATCAAAAACTAACATTTGCTTAGTGTCCCTGTTTATTCATGTTTATTTATGAATCTGCATACATAGGGTATACATTTGACTATACTAACAAGCGTGTGCTCCATGCAGTTGTACTAAAAGTTTAGTAATGGAATTTAAATGAAGTTGACTTAAAGAGTGACCTTCTTGCAACCCAGAGTTGGAAATAAATGGCAGTTTTTACACCTTATTATTATACTTCTTTATATCATGTACATCAGATTAACATAATAGTATGGAACCTCATGTGTAGCACATTAAATAGTATTAAATGTGCTACAGTATATGGATAAAATTATTTGTGTAGTTATAGTATAGTTATATTTTCTAGTTTATTCATATTGTAATTTACCAATTTAAGTAAGTGGTGAAAAAGAACAAATGAACAAACCAGATAAGGTATCCTGGTGGCACATATTAGTGTTAGTCGATAGCAGTTATTTTTAGTCTAGAGGCAAGTATTAAAGCATTATTTTTGTGGAACATAAACTTGAATCTGTGCATTTAGAGAAGGTAGATGGATCACACTGTCCAAGTAAAATAAGGCCTGGCATTGTTGTGCTGGTCATTAATCGCAGGTTTGGTGTTGAATCGAGCACAACACAATGCTTCACATTTATACTAGAATTTGTCTTGCCTCCCCCACACCACTCCCACATACATGCACAATCACGCTCTGTCCTCTAGCTAAATTAGGTTTGCACACGCGCACACATACGTGCACGCACACATACACAAGTACATACATACAAGCAAAACTAAAACGACAGCAAAAGAAAGTTAGAGTGCATTTGCATGCATTCTATACTCCCATCCAAATACACACCCATATAAGAATATTTATTTTACTCATTCATGGTTCCCCATATTTGTATTTATGGTGCTTACAAATGGCTAGGAACTATTTAATAGCTGTTCATTAGTAATTATGTCTGATGCTCCTGGTCCTAGGGCTAGGAAACTCAGTGCTCTTTTCTTCACTTAGATTGCATGATGTTGCTCTGTGCATTGCATTTAAAGTCTAGAAAAAGAAGTCGTACTGTTATTTTTGGAATAACAGAAAGCAATGCCTTGAAATAAGCAGGTATTTAACAGGTTTCATGTAAATATGGGCATTATCTGATTTCTAATGTTAACTTACCTTTCAAAGCATATGCTAAACAAGTGTTTTTTTCCCCCTCTCCTTTAGCTGCGCCCTAGTGCCACAGTTTATGAACTCGCTAAGAACTTCAACCTGGAGATGTCCATGTTTGAGAGATTAGTGAACATGGGACTGCCTTTTGTCAGACTGAACTACCAGGTTTGTTTTTCTGCATATATTAGCGCTCTCATCTTCTTGCAGGATCAGTCATTAAATTGTAGACATCTTTAGATGATGCTGTTAAAGACAGTAAGATATATATCTAAGTATCTCTATGCGATTTGTTCATCTATGGTCCTTATTTTTGTTTGTTCTTAAGCATCGTATGAGGCCAGAAATTGCCCGTCTTCTGACCCCACACATCTACAAAGAGTTAGAAAACCATCCTTCTGTGTTGGAGTACGAAAACATCAAGGTACATGTTTTTGTTTGCTCTCCTGCAGTGCCTCCTGCATGCAAGGATTTTTTTTTTAAAACTTTGCTACTCTAGACTTTCAAATGCATCTAAAGTCTCAAATCTAATTTAGGCTGTGCATACAATATCTAGAATACAGGATAAAAAATATAATACGATGAATATAAAAGAATAATGTGGAATGTGTTTATTAAATGTAAATTATTAAATTTACAGGGCCTAAAGACCAATTTGTACTTTGTGGACCACAACGAACTAGAAGAAGAAATCAGAGATGGAAAAAGCCATCAGAACCGTCATGAGGCAATGTTTGTTGTAGCTCTTTGTCACCACTTTCTCCTGCAAGACTACAAACCAGAGCAAATTACCATCCTCACAACCTATACTGGCCAACTCCACTGTCTGCGTAAACATATGCCAGCCAAGGAGTTTGCAGGTGTCAAAGTGCATGTAGTAGACAAGTACCAGGGAGAAGAGAATGACATTGTATTGTTGTCGCTTGTCCGTAGCAACCGACAGTCTAAAGTTGGCTTCTTGAACATTTCCAATCGTGTCTGTGTAGCGTTGTCACGTGCCAAGAAAGGTCTCTACTGTATTGGCAACAGAGTGATGCTGGACCAAGTCAAACTGTGGAGCAAAATCTTCCACACCTTGAGAGAGAAAGATCAGGTTGGAAAGGCTCTGACTCTGTGCTGTCAGAATCATCCAGATCGAGAGGTAAAAGTATCAAATGCTGACGATTTCAGACAAGCACCCGAGGGAGGCTGCACCCAGCCTTGCCAGTTCCGTTTAGACTGTGGCCACGTTTGTGCTAGGGTCTGTCATCCATATGACCCAGAGCACAAGAAGTATAAGTGTGTCAAAAAGTGTGAGAAGATTTTATGTGATCTGGGACACAAATGCACACTTCTATGCCACAAAGAATGCCCAAAGAACTGTCCAGTAAAGGTTGAGAAGATCATACCCAAGTGTCAACACACACAAATGATTCCTTGTCACCAGGACCCAAACACATTTACATGCCAGGAGCCTTGCCAGAAGTTGCTCAGCTGTGAACATCCATGTAAGTCAGTCTGCGGGTTACCATGCACCAGTAAGTGCAAGGTGAAGGTCATCTTAAAACTTAGGTGTGGACACACCCAGGAAGATGCATGCTTTTACAAAGATTGCATCGATAAGGCTGAATGTAAGGCCCCATGTGAGCACCAGCTAAAATGTGGACATGCTTGCCGTGGTACCTGCGGCAAATGTTTTCAGGGACGCTTCCACTTTCCCTGTTCTCACAAATGCGAACGTCTCCTCATCTGCTCTCACCAGTGCAAGGAACCTTGCACTGGTGATTGTCCTCCTTGTCAGAGACCTTGTGAGAATTGCTGTGTCCACAGTAAGTGCATGAAGCCATGTGGGCAGCCATGTGCTCCTTGTAGAGAGCCCTGTGAATGGCAGTGTGCTCACCATCGCTGCAATAAGCTTTGCTATGAGCCATGTGATCGCCCACCATGCACTGAACCCTGCAACAAGACCCTAGATTGTGGCCACCCGTGCATTGGACTGTGCGGAGACAAATGCCCAAGTAAATGCCGCATCTGTCACCACGATGACGTCACAGAGATTTTCTTTGGCACTGAAAATGAGCCAGACGCTTACTTCATTCAGCTGGAGGATTGTAAACACATCATTGAGTACACAGCTATGGACATATACATGGGTATGGATGATAACAACCAGGCAAATGAAGTAGAGCAGGTGGCCATAAAACTAAAGGAATGCCCCAAGTGTCGCACTCCGATCAGAAATAATCTGCGCTACGGATCTCAGATCAACCGCAGTCTGGAAGAGATAGAGATGGTAAAGGAGAAGATAAATGGACAGCAGTCAGATATTGAAAAAAAGAAGGAAGCACTTCAAACTCAGTGGTGTGAAAACCTTCAAACCTATGAAATGGATGACCAAAAGGAATATATGCTTATCGAAGAAAGTCTGGAAAAACCCTACCTCACAGCAAATGATCTATGGGTAGTGGAAAACAAGATGGATTTCTTAATAAGAGTTCAGAAGCTTCTGAAGATTGAGAAGAAAGACATGTTGGACATGGATCGCGACAAGTTCTTGAGGAACGTTGCAGAGTTTGTGTGTTGGCTCAATAGCTACCACCAAAAATTCACAGACCAGCAGGTCTTTGATTTGCAGAGAGAGCTACAGAGACTCAATCTCCTGGCTGAACTGAATGTTCGTTGCCATTTGGCAAATAAGAGGAGACAAACGGATCAAATTCAATCAGACGTACAAAAAATAAGAGATATTTTGGAAACGTGGGGTCAATTCACTGAGCAAGATGAGCAAAAAGTGAAGGAAGCCATGAAGAAACTAGATGAGAAGTTTCCACTCAGTGGCTTGGGGATCAGTGACGAGGAAAGAAAGATGATTGTCTCAGCCATGAAAATGCGACCTGGACACTGGTACAAATGTCCAAATGGCCATGTCTATCTTATCACAGAGTGTGGAGGGGCTATGGAGAGCAGACATTGTCCTGATTGTAATGCTACTATTGGTGGGCAAAGCCATATACTTGCAAGTGACAACCAAGTTGCCTCAGAGATGGATGGGGCACAGCACCCTGCTTGGTCTGACGCCAATAACCTTCTCAACTTTAATCCACTTGACTTCTAAAAGCCATTTTAGAAAAGCCTGTTGCTTTCTTTCCACCCTTGACTCTTAGCTGGAACATGTATGAGTGACAAAAGTTTGTGGATTTACTTAAACAAGGGCCTCAACAAAAGTCAGTGTACTCAGTGTAAATAACTTGGCAAAGGAAAATAGCATAACTTTACTTTTTACTGTTTTACTTTATGGCACCTACGAGATGGATTAGGCAGAGAGCTTTTAATAAGACCATATTTTTCTTGCATGAACTGTACTTTTGAAACGTTTTTCTTGAAAATGTAGATTTTATGCTTGTATGTCAACATGCGTCTTGCCACCTTCTGTTATGAACAGATATCATGCAGTATTGCTATTCTAAACATGATGAGTAGTAGTTTATTTTTAAATGCTTTGTAAATTACAGATTAAATAATAGATGATTGTTCATAATGCTAAACTTGGTGAGTCTTTGGTTGCTCAGGACTCCATTAAGTACCAGTTGCATTATGGCTTAACAACAGGTGGCAGTAAAACACTGTAAAATAACAGTGAATAGTGACTTGATAGTTATTATGGTTAATGCTTGTTCATATGAGATTAAAATGTCTGTAAATGCAAGCGTGTTCTTGTTGTCTTTATTTTATATAGGTCTCCATAGGCTCAGAGAAATAAGCTCAGCAAATGTGATTAACAAGTCTACTTGTTATGCTACATAAAAAGACACATTCACATAAAAATATATGAAAAAAAAAAGTTCTTAGTCACTTTCAGTTGCCATCCTGCAAAAATTTTATTTTACTATTACCTAACTGATGCATGAAAGGAAAACAACAAAACGTTTCTCCTCATCATTAAAACAAACATACAAGCGTTAAACATTCGCGTCTATAACGGGACATCATTGGCAGCGAAGGTGATAAAAACAACCCTGAAATAGCTGCAATTCCTTTTCACTACTATACAAGACTCACAGTTGCTGAGTTTCAATTTGACGTTTTGTAACAGCTTGCATCACTTTATTACATGATGAATGCGTCCTTGTCACAAAAACAGCTCCAATGCAAACTGTGCTGTCTGCAGGGGGAAAAAACCAACAAAAATCTGCTGTCAAGACAAGTGTTAAAATTGAGCAAACTTTAAAAGCTTGCCACTCTTTCCGTATTTATAGTATTCAAGCATCAGGATGAGAGAGAGCTGGATGGCAAGGCAGCACCTGAGAAAAATGGTAATATCCTACAGGGTGGACGGCATCATCTATCATTTCAGGTGGCCTTAAAATATGTTATTGTCAGAGTTCCAGGTAGTCTGCCCATGCAATAGACACTATCGAGTTCCCTACCACTCCTTCCAACATACAATTTGTGGTTTGATCACTGAGAAGAGAAAAAAAACTGCAGAGTTTAACGACTTGGTAAAGCAGCCACAAAAGGTGCCACGAATGATAATGTGTCAGTTCATGTAAAGCCTTGAATTTGAGCACTTGAATGGGTCAAGATTGACGGCACTGACATAGCATCTTTTTTAATGCCTGAATAACCTGGAAAGCCACTTGTGAACATGTGAACTAGACACAGAAGAAATCAGTGACAAGGATGTGACCACAGCATCTGGTCAAAATTAACTGTTGAATACATTGTAAAAGGTTAGTGATTGACATGGTGTATTTTAACAAGAGCCTAAATGAAAAATGTATATTGAATGACAAGAAAAATCCAATACAGAAAGGCTATTTTAAATATTGGTTTTCAAAGAATCCCCAAGGCCACAGATAAAGAGTGTCTGAAGTCTTTGTAAGAGCAGTTAAAAATTAAGAGTCCATGTGAGAAATAAGGAAAAGTTCTCCTAAGATAATATTACATTTGTATAGTCTTAATGTTATATGAAACATTCGGCAGCTTTTTAAATAAATCATTTTTCATTTATTTAGTAATTTTAGTTTATTTATTTTCTGTGTTGGATTATTTTCTATGATACATTTTTCATGACAGCTTGGATAGACTTCAGCTCCCCAAACCCCACCAGCCTGAATTGGATAAATGGTTAAAAAAACAGAGTAAAGAAAGTGAATAAATGAATCTGGTATTTGTATTCCATATGCAACCTTTGTCTTAACTCAACAAAATATAAATATTTATTTTTAAATAAATGGCTGGCTTGTGAGTATACGTTTTTACCTCCTTGCATTAAAAATGCAAACAGAGAGGAAAAAAAAAACACTCGGTATTAATCTACTTCTGAGAAAATGCAACAAGGTTTATGTTCACAGAATGAACTGTTGGTATTATGCTGGCTAGGGGTAATGGGTTTGTATTATCAGAAAATTGCTCATTAATGTTCCCTTGCAGGCATTTCATAAGTAAAGCAGGTTGTGGTCCAAAGTTCCCACCAGACAGAAATAGTGTGATGAAGTGTCATAGATAGAGTATACAACGAACGTAGTCCTTTGGTTAAAGATCTAAAGCAAATTTACTAAAATGCTGGTCTTTGGTGTCATGCATTAACCTCCAAGCTTTTCTATCTGCTGTGAACCATGTCTCTGTGTTAAATAATAAATGAGCGGTTGTTTACATGCTTGTCCTCCAAAGAAGTTGTCTTTTAATTTTGCTAATGCACTGCATAATTGCGACATATTTCTTCATGGAAATTATTACACATATCTTACAAAGCCGGGGAATTACTCAGACATTTTCTTTAAATAATTGCAGTTTTCTGTAACACTGTATATTGTTTTTTGAAAAGTGCTGCACTTTGATTTCTGTCCAATAACGTTCCATTTAATTTATTTCTGACTTGTGCAGAAGGTCATAATCCACAGAGTCCATCTGGCCTCCGTCCCTTATAAGTTGGTTCAACACAGGTTGTTGCAAAATAAAGGACAGTAGTCACAACTTTATTAAATATCGCCTTACCTTTCTTGCCTCTACACTTCCACTGGCTCTAATTTCTTCAACATTTGTCTGCAACCAAAAGTAAGAGATTACAAGACCTTTTTTTCTCTAGTTTACAGTGGTAGACAGACTTAGTCTTTTGGCTCTGTTAACAATGATATCCATCTACGTCCAAAGAGTAAGCCACACAAAGAGAGAAACTAAGTTACATAAACATTCATACAGACATTAGAAACACAGATGAAGATAAAAATCAAAAGGAATAATGTGATATTAGATGGGAAGGGGATGTACTGGACTGATTGACTGATCTGCTTCCAGTCCACCAGAGACTCTGCTGATATAGGGAAGAAGACAGAGAGCACAAATGAGAGAGAGAGAAAGCGGGGGGATATGGAGGGAGAATAGGCATGATTTGATAAGAAGGAAGCTGACTATTTCTGAGTGATCCTCCACTCCACTGGTCCAGCGAATGTGATTGGGAGAAAGATATTTAGGCAGACAGAAAAAAATAGAAAAAATAAACAAAAGGAACCAAAAAAACGAGGATACATGGTGAAGGGATAGAAAATATGAATAAATGTTTCTGTTTTAGCGTTAGATTGACAAGCTATCTTTATACTTTGCCAGTCTTGACATAAGGCTCTTAAATGTAAAACCATCAGGAAGTACATTTTCATTGTGGAAACATATACAGAGCTGCAAAAGCCAAGTCATTTAAATTCAGATTTCCGCCCAAGCACCTCATCAGTTACGGCAAATCTAAATGCAGCTCTTTATGATTATGATTCATTTAAACCAACGAGCTACAGCATGCTTAATTTCTATTAAGTTTGAGAGAAAATTATAAATCTTGCAACTAAAATTTACAAAGCAGATGTTGGGTTTCGAGATGCACGGGCTTGCTTAGCATTTTGCAAAGTTATCCACAAAGGAGACAGATTATTTTCTTACCAGAAAAAGGATCATACTTGCAGCGAAGACCTGCTTCTATTCCAGAAGAATGTCAGCTAACAAAAAATGCAGAAAGCCTTAAAGCAGTGGGTCTAATTCAGCAGAATTTTATGTATCATTCACAAACGTGATAATCTGCCAGTCATAAAATATATACCAAAATATGTGTTGCTGCATGGCAATACAGCAGCAAATATTAATACTGTATTCTTGTCCAGTTTACTTGTTATCTTACAAAATGATTAATGCACTTCACACAAGTAAAAAGCGAAAATGTTCCAAGCAGCTGTATTATCCTGTTAAAATCTTGTTGTTTTTTAACCTTGAATATGTCATTGTATGTACTATTTAATAGTTTTTTTTTTTGAATCCTAGGCATGGCTACCATTCAATTTTCTGCACCATAACCAGGAAACGAAATGACTTTCTCCGATTCAGAACTGAATGAGAAGTCTGGGAGAGGTTTAAAAGCTTTTGAGCCCAGTAATGTGTCAGAAACACAACCTGTGGTTTTAATTGATGCTTAATTGCAGCGTGGGCAGTACATTAATAAGTTATTACCATGGTCCTCTCTTGAGATACTAGGCAGGCTACTCCACATGGGTGTGTGTGTCATTACATCAAAACTTTGATTAAGGCAGTGGGAAAAGCGCAGACCCTGATCACATTTTTGTGCACCTTCCAGGCTGATTTAAATGTAAATTTATTTTTATTTCAGCTCCTCCCATCTTGACAGTGTCTTGCTATGGGAGGAAAGTAGAGACTTAAAGGGAAGAGGACAATTCTGCCCAGGTAAGCATATTTAGTTTGTGGGGGTTTGATTCTAAACTAATTTGAATAACTGTATGAAAGCCAATTTGGTTTAATTGAGCTCTGCTCTTCTGAACACCTGCAACTAGATTAGCGACTGACATTAAGTTGTTTTGCTGCATTGGGCCTCCAAGTGTTGTTCCAGCTGCTTCATAACTCCGGATTTACCTCCAAATTTTTAATACAAGACCATATGTGCTTTGCAGAATATGCAATGAGCTTGGCTTAGTGTTTCACAGAGCAGCAGTGAAATATGGCCAAGAAAGTGAAAATAAAACCCAGGCTAATCCATTCTACTCTCCTATGCCTGAGTGCTGTGACAAAGGTGGTTTATTACCATTACCATCAGTGTATTATTATCAATATGTATTAGGGAATCTCACCATCCAGCAAAATCCCAACAGGCCATGACAGGACTAAAACAAACTATGTTTCTGCACCATCGAGGGAAAACATTAAGCAAAGATGCACATCCCCCTCGGCACCCCGGTATGACTGAATCTGCCTGAGAACTTAATGGAAATGTGTATTTGCATGATTTGTGAACTCCCAATCTCATTGATCCACTTGTGTACAGAACAACTGTTGGCAAGCTCCTCGTTTTTAGTGCCATGGATTAACGTGGTTGTCAGTACATCTCTTTATGTCAGGATGAATGAAACATTAAACTGAATGGACATTAACAGAACAATAAACCTTATAGCTGTTAGTTTTACCCCAGAATGCACATATCGTCCATATTTTAACACTGTAGTCAGCCTAATAGCATCAGCATGTGCATTCACTCCAACACACAGGCAGTGTAGTTTCTGGCCATTTGTCCCGTGTCGTTTATGATATAAAGATATGCTTGTTAGATTATTTGGTGATTCTAAATTGGTGTGAATGTGAGTGCAGATGATTATCTGTCTGTCTGTGTTAGACTAGTGACCTGTCCAGGGTGTACTCCGCCTCTCAC